ATTGAAATAGTAATGGACTATGGTCTGAGGAAAGTTCGTCAAGACGGGTAAGAGAATGATTGAGGGGACCTGAACCACTGTGGATGCAAAAATCAAGAATGTCAGGATTGCGTTTAGTATCAGTGGGCCAGTAGGTAGGCGAGTTGGATGGAACGAGGCTGAAATGTTGGGAATTGAGTGTAGACAGCAATATTCTGCCACGAGAATTCGTGATTCTTGAAAACCATTATTGATGCTTGGCATCCACTGGTTTACTGTTAAGATGAACTAATTCAAAATTACTTAAATTCTATCAAATTAAATAAAACTAACCAACTTTATTAAAATTAAGTTATTATGAACACCAACTGAAAATCAATATGTGCTTTATAATGTTTCTTTTATATTTTCCTTCCAAGATAAGTTTTTAAGGATCACTTTTAAAATGATATCTTAAACTGGGAATTTTACCAGTCCTTATATTTCTATTAATAACATCAGAATTTTATTTTTGGGAGCAATTCATTTGTTATTATATTTAAAAAATCAAATCTCAGTTCTGGATATCATTGCCAGGTTGGAACGAAGCCTTGGTACTCTCTTGGGAGATAATAACACCAACTTAAAAAATAAAAAAAATTAAATTCCTTTAAAAAAAAAATCAGTATGTTTAATAATATATAATAGGAATAGAAATACGATAGAGAAAATATTTTTAAGTCTAAGTTTTTTTTAGTAATTTGAAGACCTCAAAAGACCTAAGCTGTTGAGTGTCCATAAGAAAAATAACCTTACCTAATCTCATTGCCAGCTGCAAGTCCATATGTCATTAATTAATCCAAATCTTCAAAAAATACGACTAACTTTTCTATGACCGGAATACTGATGTTTGTCTGCAACAATGGTTATGAAAGATTGTAATTTTTTCATCTGTATGCTGCGGTTATTCTTCAGTATATTTAATAACTCTTTGATCATTAGTAAATCTACTACTTTTAATTCCAGTTTGAATCTCAAGATGTCTTAGTTCCATGGCATCGTCCTCAAATAACTTCACCATCTGTTGCATTGACTCCAACCACAACAACAAGTGAAGAAGAAACACATCAACACCTTTACACAGCATGCACCCACACTTCAGAAAGTGATTCGGCACCGTCAACCAGGTTTTAAATTAGTTTATAATCAATGATTTTTCCTTTATTTTTCATTTATAAGATGTTTTTAAAATTAATTTCAAGCTATTTTGGGATTAAAGTTTTGCTTAATTTATTAAGATCTATTTTTATCTAAAACATTTTATTTATTGAGATATATTACATTCTGTCACATTTAAGGACACTAGTAATAGTGATACAGTAGCTCATTCACACTCTATGTACAATAATAAAAATTAATTAAATTAAATTAGCAAAATAATAATACTAAAAGTAAATGTATATAAACAAAAATAAACTAAACTGATCAAAATAACAATTTATTTTTTAAATTATCATTGTTATGCTCCATTATATGTGTATATATATATATATATATATATATATATATATATATATATATATATAGAGAGAGAGAGAGAGAGAGAGAGAGAGAAATAGTGTCTAAAATTTAAGAAATACATTAGAAATCAACTTCAACTAATCGAAAGATTGCTCAAAACTGTCATAATCTGTTAATATTTACTTATAGCAGCTTACATTATTACAAGTAGATAAATACATATATAGAGAACATAATGGCCAATCACATTAGGAAATGGTGCTCTGTTCTCAATATTATGGTTTCAATTTCCACCTAGGTCAGTTGATATATACCTACTACGTTGATACAACCTTTAAATAGCCTTGGGGTGTAGGAAAACAGTATCCTGAACACCACTTATCCAGAACCTGTACCATTACTTATTCATATAATTTTATGTTAGATAAACATAGTATTTCAAATAAATTAAGCTATTTAGGTTTAATTCAAATTTATTTAGTAATTTCTAAAATAAATTATTTATTGAAAATCCTAAATGGACATTATTAGTAAACTATTAAAAATATTTTTAATGAAAATACAATTCTGCAAGAAAGGCTTCATTTAGTCCATGGTACAGCCCCTTTTTATCAAATTAATTAATTACAATCAGCCTAAAATTTTGAGAATGTCTTCATCTTATCATAACCTACAACTTTTCTATTTATGAACATTTTTGGTAATGGGGCATTTTCAATCTGGAGATCTGTAAACTTTGTTTATTTAATGAGGTGCTAAAAACTCATGAACAGCCATTGGCTTTCCACTTGAATCGAAAGATAATTCCATTACCAAAACGAGGAAAATAGATGGCCTACAAAAATATTGGGCTGTTTGGCCTATAAACCATGTTATTTTGACATGTTGGAGGTGGGGCTCATGCCAAACGTATGAACAAATGTTTTTAGGCTACCATTTTTCTCGATTTTGTGATCTTTTTTTTCAACGATTCAAGTAGAAAGTAAATGGGTATTCATGTGTTTTTATTACCTCATTAAATTAATTAATTTAATGAAATAACACCTCATTTCTGAGAACGTTTGTTGATAGAAAGTTGTAGGTTACGAAAAGATAAAGACGTTCACAAAGTTTTAGATAGATGTTAATAATTGAATAAAAATGGTTCTGTACCATGGATCAATTCTTTGGAAATTTGTGTTGCGGCAGGCCCGTTTTCATGGATTCATGTTGAGTTAACTACCTCATTATTATATTCATCAGATATGACTTTAATACTTTAATCAATTATAAGTTTAGTAATTATCAAGTTGTTTTACATGAAGTTAACTATATTTGCTCTAATAAATTTACATTTTAATTTACACCTTTAATAAATCATGTTACCATTTATTGGTTCCAAACTTTACATTTAAGAATATTTATAACATACTCATTCTAGACAATTAAATTAAACTTTATTTTTTATTCAGTTGATAATTTCAAAGTATTATCAAAGGATAATAAAATTTTCAATTATTTAAAGGTGATAGATAACTAACTGTATTAAGGTTTATCTTAGATTATAAACAGTCAGGAAAATTTTCAAAACGTATTTTGTCAAGAACCAAGCTTGTAGATCTCTTTCAGGGTTGAAAATAAATATAGAATATGAGAAAATTACAAAGACTTAAGTAAATAATAAAAAATATAAAACATAAATAGTAAAAGTAAATTAACTGATAAAGATATGAACAATAATAGATACAATTAATTATTTTAATATTTTTGTCAAAACTTTTATATGTACCCACACCCTTCTCATTCAGCTTCTTGATTCTTCCAATGTGTAAATATCACAGAATCCACGTGTTTTATTTTCCATCTATTTTTAATGTTCATATTTTTTAACTTTATTTTAAAATTTTTTTATTTCATCTGCTCTTCACATGCTTATTTCATCATTCAATGTTTATAATATATTACTGATACTTTTCATATTTTTCTTTTTCTTATTTAGTTTTGTCTTTGTACTATATGCATATTTATATCTCTTATATTTCTTGTTAAAATTCAGTCCTCATTGTGATGATCCCCAAATTTTTAGTCAAAATATTAAATTACATAATAAAATATTTTGAATGAATTTCTAACTGTTTGTTATCCAAGATTTTCAAGAATTCATCGGATAGTTTTCAAGTTCTTAAGAAGAATAGAAATTCTTCACAAAAGAATTTCTACAAATGTAGTACAAGAAGGGAGAGATGTTAATACCAAAACTTTGGATGATATTGATAACAACTGACTTATACTATTAGTACAATATCAACGCATCAAGCAAAACAATGACTCATTCACTGGAAAATAATATTACCCTCCAGATCATACACAAATTAATCTTACCATCAGCGGAACTGCAAAACAGTAACAAAAAATCAAAATATTTTCAAAAGTTCATTGGCTAGACATGTAGACATATCTAGACATATTTTTTGAATCTGTGAATAATAGAAATAAGACTCTAATAGGATAGTTGTATCCTGAAAAAAAATTCCAAAAGAACAGAAACCAAAATAAAAAAATGGATGGAAGATGCAGAATGGAGGATGAAGAATGGAAAGATAAACATTCAACGCCTTAAATGTTTTCTACTTAAGGATGTAAACTTGGAGGCTTAATTACATAGTTCAACAATCATAATACTGTTAGATAAAAAAATTAAAAAAATAAATAAAAATCTTTAATGAACATATCAAATGAAAAGCTCCCTATATAGTGAATTGGGTGGGTGTGTTTTTAATAATTGGTAAATAACTCTATTAGCTTTATAAAACTTATCTTTAAAGTTATGGTCTGAAACTCAGTACAAGTCAACACAATCTTGTAAAGAAAATTAAACAAATTTTAGATTAAAATGTAGAAGACACGGACATGTTCAAACCCTTTCAAGACAGGATCACATATTATTGGTATGAATTTGATAGTACCAATTCAAATGATAAGTAACTTCCCTTTAACATTTATTATTGATTCCATTAACATATATATTTCATTTAATATTTAAATAATTAATACACAAATAAGAAATATTTTCCACAGTTAAATCATATGTCAATCATTGAAATCTAGGTTATTTTTATTTTAAACTGGTGTTAAACAGTAATGTATAGTATATGCAATTAATGTATGATTTTTTCTAATCAAACTCTTGCTTTAACCTAATTCAAATATCCATTTTGTTTGAATCATTGGTTTGATGCAAATAGTTACTAATTAAATTTTTGATGGAGCCATACTTTCTAGTAAATTTTGAACTTATTTATTTATCAATACAAAACAGTAAGTGCACTGAAATGACACCAATTATGTTATATATCAAATATATTTACATTAAATTCATAATGTTTTGATTTCAGAAAGGTATAATTCATCAAAATATTTAGTAATTTAATGTTAAGAAATGTTACTTAATGACTTTATGCGATAAACCCTCAATATTGATTCTATTTCTCTTTTAAAAAAGTTTATTTCAGACAGTCAATTTTCATTATTTCAGACCAGCTGCTCCGAAGCATAAGACAAAGCATAAAGAGGTAGTACCTTCGCCAAGCAGTTCATCACTATCCAGCCCAAATGAAAGCTGTTATAGTTTTGTTAGGCGAGCTTTCAAGGTAAGTTTTTCAATTATAAAATTTTCTTTAAATAATGTAAAATTGACACAGAATGTTATGTTTTAAAAAATGTAATGATGTTTAATGAAATTTCAAAAGGCGTTGAAGCATTAGACATTTTGTAATATAAAATACAAAATTTCTAAGATACAAATAATGACATAAAGAATCAATAATAATATTAATACAATAACAGAAGAAATAAGATAATAATAATAAGGAACTGTAAGAAAATAGGCCCCTGATACATTCTGTCACTGAGCTCTTATGTCACTTATGCTCATTATACCTATAGTCCGTGATCCATACTTTATAGTTATAACCATGTTTTTATCAATATCAATCAGATAGTTGTCACAATACTTTTAACATCCTGCTGACTAGAATCCTTGAGAAGTACATGAAACTTATTATAACCTTCATCTTTGTGTAAGTTAATAAAAATAAGGGCAACCAATTTGATCATTGGTAAGATATCAAAATTTGGTATTCTTAGCCTACTGTAACATTGGCTCTGGTAGTTGTTAATAATTTTTACCTATCTTCCCTGGAAACAATATTTTGTAAGGTTTTCTTACTTCTTTCATAGTTGGTAAATTTTTTTGGTAAGTCTTTTTCCGTTACCAGAAACAAAATCAAAGGAAACGTTTTTCAACTAACATCTCCTTGATAGATTACTTTTGTCTTTATTAGATAAATAGATGATTGCAGAATTCAAGGGTATCTATCCCCCTCCCCAAGGTTGATGGCACATAAACCTTCCTCCTGTCCTTCTAAGATAATCCATTGCTTTTGTCTTCTTAAAAACAGTTCAATCGAAAATATAATCAGCGTGAAATATATACAATTACACTTCCAGTTGTCGATTCTATGTCTCTTCCCTTGTCTTTTGGTTTGAAACTTTTCATTCCAAAAATTCATAACCCATTCAATATGTACCCCTTTCCCCATAAAAAGTATCATGGTGCAATTTGCATTTTTTTTTTTTTTTTTTTGTTTGTGGGGGTATGACACTATCAGTGGGATATACAGGATTTATGATCGAATCATTTAAAATTATACTATGCATCCACTGAATAGTTTTATCATCATCCTAATCCAATAAAATTATTTTTAAGTTCATACCTACAACAGAAGTGAAAATATCCACTAATAACAACAATTAAAAGAAAATTGTATTGCATTACAAAACTAATATGAAACTAAAAAATAACAATTTCATTACATTAATTAATAAAATTATTCAGTACTACTTACTGTGACGTGTCAGGTCATATATCTTGAGCTCATTGAGACTTAAGAAGGAGACAACACAACAACTTAAGGAAGAGGTTAAGAGGGTCTAAGGTTGTGTTCACTACCTCCATTGATGAAAAAGTACCCAAAAGTGGAGTGTCTCCTGCTCCACAGATGGTTTGGCAGCCCTGGATAACGACATGACAAAAGTCAGCGACCCCCTCAGAGGGTTAAGTGTATTAGCACTCAATAATCAACATTCTTAATTCTCCTAGTCCAATTTATGAGCAACATTCAGCAAACATTTTTGAAAATTTTCCTTGAATAGATATTTATATTATGATTAACACTAAGAAAATATTATAAAACAAAATAAAATACCCTGAATACTGAAATAATTCATTAAATGTTACTGAATAATATCATCTTCCACACCAGGGAGCTCCAAATTACAGCCCCAGGGTTTGGATCGGGTTTTAGTAATAACACTAGATTACTACATTTATTTCATTAGTTTTCCTCTTAGAAAGTTGATTTCACAACTGAAGTGTTATTTATCGAACAAGAGTTTTTTTTTTTCATCAGAAGCCATGACTCGCACGAATGAGTAGAGGTCTCAATGTGGCCTGCTATCAAAAAAGTTTGGAGACCCTTGCACCAGACTATTAGGTTGATGGTTCCCATTTTCTTCCTTCTGATAGGGTTTATATATGTATATACGATTTACTGATTATTTTAAATTGTATTTTCATTTTCTGCAACATGTATTCTTCCATAAACTTTTTTTTTATATCTTCTACTAGGCAGTATTGGATTCAGGATTAAATTTGTCTATTGGATGGCCATCTTTCTCCTTATAATGATAATTACAGGCGCAATAATGCTTTTCGGGATACAATTTTTACGTTTTCTTGACATGTCCTTACATTCAGTAGCTGCAATGCTAAAGTACATTTGTTATAATTTAAAACGAGAGCATATTGTAATTGTTGAATTATAGATCTCAGTTAATTTGTAGAAAAAAAATTGCCAAATGAAAAAAAAAATTCTATTTTGGAGTAGACTTCAACCAGCCAGAAAGAGCCCTCCATTAGTAAAATAAGCTTTTATACTTAATTTAATTGAATAAAAATGGAGTAATTCATATGTGTTTTGTGCTTGTCAAAAAATAATTATATTAATGTATATTGAAGAATGTTACTAGCAAAGTAATAATAAAATATAAAATTTGACTTAAAACTTATGATGCACTCATATTCGTTGATTTATTTTCAGAAATTGACTGGAGTCAAAAGAAGTCCCACAGTAAGGCCTTGGTTTCTTGACTCATGGACATCTTGTGCATCTAAAGATCCACCACCAAGAAGATATGACCCAGAAGGCTGTGAAGATATACAAGATTTACCAATAGAGTTGAGGCATTTAGAAGGAGACGTAGATTTATTATTTGAGAAACCACCTCCAGTGAAATCTGTGAAACAAACTTCAACAGATGTTACTTTAAACCATAAATCAAAAAGTCTAAGTGACATTATCACTAATGAACACAAATCAATAGTTCGATCTCAATCTAGTTTTCCAACCCTCGAAGGAAATAATCAAAATAATGTAAAAACTGATGAAAATGAAAATAAACCGAAGTTAGTTAAGCAAAAACAGTCTATGTGTGATGAAGATGTTGAAAGTGAAGAACGTGATGAAGCTACAGATATGAAAGATCTTATTAAGTCACTACCTGAATTTAAAATTTCTGCATTTGGTTTAAATAAAAAAGGAAACGTTTTTAAACAGAGTTCAATGAATGAAGAATTGATGTCAGCAGAAAGATTAAGAGAAAAAGAAAAAGTCAGACAGAATATACAAAAGCAAGCATCATTAAATGAAGAGCTTATATTTAACAGAAACAAAACTCTTGATTCTATAAGAGACACATTTTTTTCAACATCTACAGCTAGAAGACTTCAGTTATTGAAAAATGGCCTAACTAATAAATTTAAGAGCTCAACAACTGGCATAGAGAAGGTTTCAGGAGCATCAATAAAAAATGGCTTTGTTCGTATCCTTCAAGGTTGGGCAAGTGGTGATTTAAATGCTTCAGCAGCTCAGCCAGCTCCCCCACCACCTCCACCACCACCTCCTCCCATTCCAATAGAATTTAAAACCTTCATTATTGAGGGTAAAAAGGACCAACCAGGTGAAAGACGCCATTCTCGAGAAGATGGTTCTGATTCTTCAAAAGATAGTAGCTTACAGAGTGATACTAGTGTCGATTCAGAGGACAGCTTTGCCTCTGTAATTTTTATTCCTAAAGCAGATCAATTGGATCAGCCTTCTTCTAATACTTCACCAACATTACAATCAACACCTGGTTCCCCACAACCCACTTCGCCCAAAATTAAATATCCACCACCAATTTCACCAAAAATGAAAAACTCAACACAGATGTCATTTGGGCTACCCTCTCATCCATCTTCACCAAAGCTGAAACACCCTAACCAATTAATCAATTCTCCAACTCCTTCATCACCTAAAATGAAATACTTTCCTCAACCAACTCCTCCCAGAACTTTTCAACCAGGTTTGTTAACATCGCCTACTTCAAGAGGCTCATTAAAATTCACTCCTTCTTCAGCTACAAACTCCCCACAGGTTTGCAAAACAATAGTTGCATCAAGTAAATCATTACCACCAACTTATAAAATACCTCATCTTACACCAACGTCTCCAACTGGAGACCATTCTAAGTTGCCTGAAAAAGAATCTAGTCCTCCACCACAAATAAGCACAGGAGCCATACCAAAGACAAAAAGTTCATATAATATTTCAGAATCTAAATCAAGCCAAGATTTTAAATCTTACGAAGATTTAAAACCTGTATTGTCACCAGGAACATCTCCAACATCATCAGAGAAGCCTATATTAAGTTCAGTTGATATAGGACCACTAATTAAAGAAGAAATTTCAACAAAAGAAGAAAAAGAAGAGGAACCTCTTGATGAAAATTTAAAAATAGTGCAAGAAATTGTTCGCCAAAAAGTTTGTAAGTAATTATAGCTTAATTAATTAATAACAATTATACCATAAGATTTTATATATATATATATATATATATGTATATATATATATATATATATATATATATATATATATAAATATATATATATGAAAAACATTTTCCTCCATAACTCCCTTCCTTTGTTATTTATTCATCCTGACAACTTTACTTGCCTATTTTACTTGCTATAATGCCATCACCATAATTATATTTATCAAATGCAGTTTTTAAGCATATATATAAATAATTTTTTGTCGGAAAATCTGGCTTTCAATAATCTTTTATTGTTTCAGCATCAAGACATCATCAATTTCCCTTAGTCAGAAGATCTTCCACAATGTTTGGGAGAACTGATTCACCACCTTCTAGGCCAGTTCCTAGGCTTTTATCACTTGAAATATTTAATCCAGAAACAGATGACATGGATAGTGATTCATCAGGTTTATCATCTCCAGATTCTGTTGGAAGTGTGATATCAATTAAAAATGAAGAAGAAACTGCAACTGGCAAGTATAAATTAAAGGATTTTTTTTTTTATAATTTAATGAAATTTACATTACAATATTTTTTTTCCTCATGCCGAAGTCGTGAGACCATCTGACATCTTGCTGCCCAGTATAAATTAGAGTTTTTTATGTATTAATTTAAAAATATTTTTTTCTTATGTCCGTCAAAGCAGGGCATGTGTCTAAATGGTCTGCATCCATTTTTCCTTGTTGCAGCTATACATATCTTGTGGAGTTGACTTTGTAGATAGTCGTGACCAGTGGCCAGATGAACGCAGACTACTGCATCTCTTCTTGTTAAATCAGCTGGGATCGGGTTTTCAATCAAACATTTATAACGTCTCCCTTCCATCTGGTTTCTGTGTATTTGTTTTTTATTTCCTCCTTCACTACCATCCTCACTAACCGCTGAATTGAATCGGCTGATTTAGCTGATCCATTGGTATAAATGTGAAGCCAATCATGAGAAGGATACTTTTGAGCTATAGTTTCTAGTGCTATTGCCTTTAGCTCATAGTGTGGTGTTTCTTTTTTTTTCTCCACCATATGGAGGAGTTACAGCTCTATCTTGCTTGCCTGATTGTAATCTTCATAATGAAAGGGCCGCCATAGTCTATTCCAACTCGCTGAATGGATCGACCCTCGGTCACCCTGAAAGACCGTAAGTCACTCATTTTTAGAGTCTGTGGCTTCGCATCACTAGCGGATCCAGGATTTCATTTTGGGGGGGGGGGCTTCCCGAAAGCTGTTTTTTTCATAAAAATAACGATAATTACTTTAGAAAAAAAGAAAGAAACTAACTACCTGTATGAAATGGTGTTTAAGTGATTCCTAAAGCCCTTTTAAATGTAATTACACAAACAATAATACTTTAAGAGATACTTTTTAAATATTTTTTTCGATAAAACATGGCTATATTTTACCATTTTGGGGAGGGCTTCAGCCCGAAAGCCCCCCCCCCCCCACCGTAGATCCGCCCGTGCTTTGCATTATTTTTGTGGCATGTAACCATTAATAAATGAGTCTTCTCAGAAAAGGGATCCAAAATGAATGAGTGACTGGACCAACAGGGGCACACAATGCAAGGATTGCCTGTGGTAATGGTCACACAAAAGAACTGCTAAATGTGGATCTTTATGTATCAGATGTGGGTGCTTACTTTTCAATCATTATTTAATCAAGGCATTAAATAATAATTTAAACGAAGGAAATTGTTCATACTGTCCAGAAAATTGAGGAATTTGTAAATCTGGCAATTTAGGATACGCTACTGATTCAGACATGCTGTGTTGAGAAGCAGGAACTATTTGCTCAGCTTTAATTAATCTTTTATGTGCAACTTTTATCTCATAATAAATTTCTTCCGCTGCTAAATAAGGTGCGTTTATTTCTATCCTATGTTCCTCCTCTAACGATTCATTTAGCACCCAAATTTTGTTCAACACTGCTTCAAATTCCTCCAGTTGTGCTTTAATTTCTATAAAAATTTCTTTTCTAGCAGGGAGAATTTTAACCATATGGAAAGTGGTTTGAATTCTAAGAAACAGCCTTTCCTTTCTATCATTAATAGCTTTAAGTTCCTCCGTACTCTTAGTTGGAGCCATTTTCAAAGTTGTTATAAAATAAAAATTTAATTGCTGAAGGCAAAATCAATTTTCTTTAAAACAGGCCAAGACAAGCAAGGATTAACGGAAGTATTAACGAAGTCACTTAATTCCAACAAGTTACTATGCATTCTTTCCTGAAAATTCCTGGAAACTTATCTGGAAAGCTCGACTTCTCCAAATACGTAACGAACACATTAGATATATTAGATATACGACATAAGATTAAAAAACGAATCAATAGGTGAAATACGAATATTAGCCCAGAAATATACGGTTTTTACAAAAAAAAAAAATCAATTTTCAATACTCTGGCATCCCCAACTATGCAAGAAAGGACATAAGATATATTTAAACAAAACAACGAATTAATAGGCGAAACACGAATATCAGCCCGGAAATAGACGATCTTTACAAAAACTCTCATAACCTATCAGGCAATTTTTCTCCTTTACATATGGGGAAACATCGCTAATATGGCAAAAAAAAAAAATATATAATCGTGTCCGGTGGACCAAAATGTTTAGGCAACGTTCCAATTTTAATTTAACTAAGGCAATATACTCTAATGAATTTAAAATAGGTAATATTCAGCTTATTGCCAACATTCGACTTATTTATGCAGTGGACTGTATTTTGATGAAGTAGTAGGTTATATGAATTGTGCAAATTGACCGCCCTTTTATGCTGGCATAGACATCATGCTTAACTGGGAGGGCCCTCCAGTCTACTAATTCATGCCTCTGTGGATATCTGGGATGAAGTGTGCCAGTGCCACTGTTAGTTGGTGCGGATTAAATTTTATCTTTTAGATCTTATTTAATTTGCCCCCACCACTCGCCGTAACGAGACAATCAGGCACAATAGCTATGCATAAAACAGTTCCCTTTCTTCACAGTCAAGCCATATTTCTTCAAGGAAAGCATTGGCCTTTAGCATGAATGATTCTTGTGTCTTGAGCTGTTGAGTTGGGATTTTGTACATTATAATATATGCTATGGTTATATGGGTTTAATTTAATTTTTTTTCTGCCGGCATTTTTTTATTATGATGTATGAAATTTACAACTGTATACACATTAATATACAATCAGTAAATGTGATACAGAGAAATACATGACATGACAGGCTCGTAGAGAATCTACCCATTGGTAGCACTCTAATAAAGTATTTAAATTAGGAGATCACGAGGCCTTCTTATAGGAGGAAGCAAGATTAGAAACTAGAGGATCAGGTTGGTTCTGAAGTTTATTATGGAAGGATAGGTATCTAGATTGAGCCAAATCAAAAAAACATGGAACTTTCAGGACGTTATGGATTATTTTATTTGTAACTAAATAAGGAGCGTTAAGGATTTTGGATTGTAAAGATTGGATACGAGAGGAATTCGATAGTTTACCCCTATGCATAAGTCCGTAAGTCCAAATAGGTCTTATTATAGTCATGTATATGAGTCATTTGTAATTAATTGAAAGCTTAGAGCGTTTGTCTATTAAGTGCTGAAGTAGTCAGAAACGTCAAGCGGTTTCTTGTTTGGTATGAGGATTCCAAGTTAGACGTTTGTATAGGTGGAGTCCTAGGTATCGGATTTGTTCAACAGGAATAAGTGGAGTATTGTTAAAGGAAACTGTAGGACAGAAAGTCATAGGGTTAAGATGAAGGGTAAAGGTAATTTGATGGGCTTTATTGAAATTTATTTTAACTCTCCAGTTTTGACACCATTCTTCAAGCTTTGTGATGTGGGATTCAAAAGTTTTGGATGCAATTGATGGTCGTTATTAACTGATAAGACACATACGTCATCGGCATAGGTTGTAATAACAGTGTTTGGATGCATTAATCATTAAAATTAAATTTGGTTGATTTGTATTTATATTAATATGTTTTAAACACTATATAATAATTTTACATTTTAATTTGAAAATTTTTATTTTATTGAAACTTTATTATAAAGTATACTTAATCATCTTAGTATATTATTTACTAAAATTACAATTTCAGAGTGTGTGGCTGAACAAAAGCAAGAAACTGCATCAAGCACACTTCTTTCAAGCCGAACTTCTGGTGTTGGTGCTGAAATTTATCCCTTCACAGAAACTAATCAGGAAACACTGGATTTAAAATTACATCTAGAGGAAGGTGCTGTGGGTGGTATTAATCCTTCACCAAGGCTGTCACCTTTATTAGAAGCTGCTGCTGATGTAGCAATCACCTTAGAAGAAACAGTTGAAACTGTTATTCAATCCAGTCCACAACCAAAGAGAAAACATCTTTCATTGAGAAATGATTCAAGGTTGATTTTACAAGATCTTACAAGCAGTTGTACAAATAAATCACTATTTAATGAAAAGAAGAATAAACCAATTGGGCTCGAACAGGCATTTTTAAGCCCATTACGAAAAACAATTGAAGTGCCAAAAAAATTATTACTTGATCATGAAAAAATAAGTAAAGAACGAATGTCTTTCGAACAAAGTATGAAAATGGAGGAACAACAGGGGAAGAGGTGGGATGAAGAATGTCGTCAACATCTAGCAGAGTTTGCAGAAAAATTAAGTGAAAAGTTATTGGCAGAAATAGACCGCTACAGAGAACAAAGTGCTGTGATGCATTCACTTTCTCCAATTGATAGTAATTATGGCACAAATTTTAGTGATATACAAGATCCTTATTTGTTTAAACTTAATGAAGACCTTAATGATTTGACAAAACTAAGCATAGAACTTCAAGAAGAAAATATCGCCATGAAAACAAGAGATATTCAATTTAAACAAAATGAATCAAGAACAGAAAGAGTCAAAGGAGAAGGAGCATCAATGGAAGAGAAACATATTGAACAGAATTTGAAGTTAGATACATGTATTTCTAATCTTTCGTACCCTAATCAATCTTCATCACTTTTTCCAATAACACCAGACAAAAAAACTATTGCATATTTACCTGAAGAACAAATTCCCTTGCTAGAAGAATATTCAGATGATGGCTCAAATTCACTCTCCTCTAGTCCAAATATGAAGCCTTCTATAGAATGCACTTTCTTAAGTCAACATAACAGCCCTGATGGAGAAGTGACTATTGAAACTAAATTTGATCCTGAAAAAAGCCAAAAAGAAGAAACCACTCAGATGAATACAACCAAATCATCACTAAAAGAAAAACTTGAAATTAATGAAAAATATGGAGGCAGTGAGGAAAGTTGGGTTGACTCAAGAAGAAATACAATTTTACCTGCTGGTAAATCACTTCTAACTAGCCTTATAACTCCATCAATTCAAACAATATCAGATGTGTCAAGTACAACAAAGAGAGAAGAAACGACAAAAATTGAATTACTTCCAGCAAAAGAGATGCCAAGAAGACCTAGCATTTCAGTTGAAATGACTGATTCTGTTGAAAAAACCCACAAAGAAGAAATTTTATCAGAATGTGCTCTTCATTTGGGAGTTTCTCTAGAATCAAGTGAAGCAGGAGATATTTCAGAAAGAACTGGAA